ATGAACCCGGTTCATTCGTTGAAGAAACCCTAGCAGATCTTTTGAAAAAGGTAGGTGACAGTTATAACCCTAAGAAAAAGAGAACTCCTAAAACAAAGACCCCTGACACAGCAAGAGCCAACAAGAAAAGGAAGGCTGCTCCTTCTGACACTACTGAAATTCCTCTCCCAAAAGGAAGAGCCACGAGGAGTAAGCTGAAGCAAAGTGAAGAGGAGTTGTAGAAAGCCTTAGAAGAATGTAAGAAGAAAAGGATGGATAAAGTGAAAGAAAAAGTGGGAGAGCTTGTTGAGGCTATTGATATGGATGAGATGGACCTGGTCCATCAAAGTGAAAAAGTGACTGCTGAGGTGGAGGTTCAGACTCCCAAGCCCAAGAAAGCCAAGACTTCTTCTAAGAAGTCTACATCTGTAACCAAGTCTGCTGAACCATCTACCCTGTCAAAGAGGACCAGGTCTGCAGTGAAACCTAAACGAGTAAACAATGCTGAAGAAGAGGATTCGAGTGAAGAAGAGGAGGATGGATCAGAAAATGAAGTGGACAAGCTGGCCAAGTTTGGCAAAAGGACTATCTTGAAGGGTAGACTCCTAAAGGATCTGGAGGAAGAAGGGATGGTTCTGCTGCTGGAAAAACTGGAGGTGCAAGGGTGGAAGGACACGGTCCTTCAAATGGATGGCAGATTGGCGAGAGATGAAGTAGTTGAGTTTATGGAAAATGCTGCTGTGCAGAATGGAAGAGTTCCCAGCTCGGTGAAAGGGGTGAAAATCTCTTTTGATATGAAAGAGTTGGGTGAAATTCTAGGTGTACCTGCTGAGGGGTACAATGATTATACAAGGCTTAAGTGGCCAAGCCTAGAAAATCATCCAACTGCCCTTGCCATCGCCAGAAAATTTAGTGATCATGAGCAGGAAAGTGAGCCCAAGGTTGTATACAAGAGTGCAATGAAGCCTTCCCACAAGGAGCTCTTTGAATTTGTCATCAAATTTGTTATGCCTAGGGAGGAGAGGAGGCACATAGCTTCATGGACATGCTTCTGATGGAGTGTCTAGATAGTGGGAAGTAGATAAATTGGCTTGGGTTTATAGTTCAGCTTCTTGATAGGGTTATCAATGGTACCAAGTCTCATGCTATTCCCTATAGGTTCATTCTGACTACTGTGCTTGCTCATTTTAAGGTGCCTTTGAAGAAGTGGGAGCTAGCTACAAGCAAAGATCATTTTGGGGCAAAAACTCTGATTGCTTGTGACTATGAGGTTCTTGCCGCTCCTAATGAACCTGGTTCATCTAAAAAGACACCAATCAATAGCAAAGTCAGAGTCTTGGTACAGGAGAGTGAGGCAAAGGATGCTGAGATAGCAAGGCTGAAGACACGATTGGCTGAGGTAGAATCTGAGAGAGATGTTCTCAGAACTGAACTTGCAAGGGAAAAGGAGAAGAATGATGGAATTCTTCAAGACATGCTAAAACTTCTCCAAGCAAATAACCCAGCCCCTACCTCTTCTAAGCCTTAATTCCTTGCCTAGTGTAGTTCCTTTAGTAACCCAGTTTGGGATGTTTCTTTTGTTGTTGTTTGCTCATGCTTTCAGTATTTTTATTTCCTTTTATGCATTGTGGTAGAATCATATCAACTTTCAATGAAATCAATAAAATCTGCTGGTTTTTGCTCTAAATGTTTGTTTTTATTTCTTTGATGGTTGAAATTCTTAGCTTGATCAATGATGATTAATCCATGATTGCATTTGGGATAGCCCTAGTGGCCATGAGTAAGCTTTATAATCTGGGTTCTGCAGATTTTTATGCAACTTTTCGATGATGCCAAATGGGAGAAAATAAATAGGTTGTGCTTTAAACAAGTTGTTTAGCTTTGAACAAGTGATGTATATAACCGAATGAACCTGGTCTTTGATGATAAGTGATAAAAAGGAAAAATGTTTCTAACATTTTGTTGATGTTGACATGAGTTTAAACAGGGCCTAAGTGTTTGAAAAGCACAGAGTTCGTCATCATCAAAAAGGGGGAACTTGTTGGCCCAAGTAAAGGTTAGTTCTGAAGACTGACAAAGAAACTCAGGCATGAACCAGGTCCATCCCTGTTGCACAGATACGGACAGGATTGAGCGTGTGGGATGCACGTGAAGGAGATAAACCTAACTTGACAGAATTGATATCTCCTGATACTGATCGAAAAGGTTGCATAATTGATAAGGGGAAGGACTCCTTACTCAAAGAGAACACTGTTCAAGATAGGGAAGGAGTTAGAGGTTGAGATCAACAAGAACTCTTCCACCAAGGAAGAGTAGCATCAGAATTCTAGTTAATTTTTATTTACTAACTCTATAAATATCAGTGTTGTTCTCTTTTACAGGTAATGCACAAACGCAGAAGTTAAACGTGAATTGAGAGCAAAATAGCAAAAGGCAATTTTACAAGCAGTTCGTGTGTGATTCAAGTGTGAAAACCTGAAGCTACATGGACCAGATAGAAGAACCAGTTCCAAGTGTCTATCTTTTATTCTAGTTCAATTGTAGTAGGTGTTCTCATATTGTACCTTTCAGCTTTATCTAGAGGCAATTGTAATAGGTACTCAGAGTATTCAAGTTAGAGTTAACTTGAAGTTGTCGCAACAGTTAGAGGCTGTGTGCTACAACGGGATTAGAGTTAGTCCTACGTTTACAAAAGAGTTTTTGTAAATGCAGTTTTATGGCTTAGTGATTTAGTGGAGAGTTTGGGAAAATCCTAGTGGAAAGTAGGTCGTGGTTTTTTCACCTTTTGAGCCAGGTGTTTTCCACGTAAAATACTTATGTTCTTTACTTTCTGCATTTACTATTTTTGCAATAGTAGGTTAAGGAACACTTAAATGAACCAGGTCCTTCCATAATCAGTTTAAGCGAAAAATTGGACACCACACAAATCACCCCTCTTATGTGGTATTGAAGTATAAAACATCATTTTATCTGGTATAAAAGTATATAATACATCGCTAGCTATAGAGACGAACTTCTTCTGTGATTTTAAAGTGCAATCTTGTTCAAAACGGATCCAAGTTTCGATCAAATAACTTCAAAACCACTATGTTTCACTTGACTCTTGTTTTATCCTAACTCAAATCTTTTAGATTGTATCACATTAGGCATTGAGAAAATTATTAAACCGCTGTAACATTATCCTAACTCACATTAGGTATACAAACACGATCACATTACGATTTTGGCCTGGGTAACGATTTTACATACTTTGTTGGAGTAATGTCTAACAAATAACCCTTCTTCCCAATCAAGAGAGAGGAGAAAAAAAAGAACAAAAGCGATATGGTAGCTAAGAACTTTGGTAAATCAATTTTTTACATATTCTTTGTATTATTTTTCGTTCTATATCAATAATATAACTCAATTATGTAGCAGAATTTGACTTTTAGCTTTTAAGCATAGGATTAAAAAATAGTGACTTATCCACAAAATAAGTACTTTCACTTTTTTATGGACAAGAATACCCATATTAAGAATTCATGTTTATCAAACTAATTAATTAGAAGTAACTTTCCAGATTTAGTATAATCCATTAAATTTTCATATTATTACTTTATTATACTAACAATATTCATTGGACATTTGTTCTTTCTTTGACATCATTATTACCAGAGTACTAATAATATTCTTTAGTCTGAATTGTTAAAAGGTGAGAGGGTAGACCAAAAATCACACGGAAGGAAATTGTTTGAAAGCCCGACAAATTCTTAGAATCAATACAGATTTAGCTAAAGATAAGGCATAATGGAAGAGAAAAATCCTATAGGTGATACCTACTAGTTAGGAATAGATTTTAGTCTTGATAGAGAACTTTTATTATTATTATTATTATTATTATTATTATTATTATTATTATTATTATTATTATTATTATTTATCTTTTTTACTTGTACTTTTATTTTACTTTGGTAATATTGACGAAGAGTGGAGCTAAATGACAGGAGTGAGTTCATACCGCCGATCCCAACTTTAACCGAGGCATAATTATTATTGTTGTTTTTAGTCTTAATTGTTTTTTTAATTCTTAACTTCTTTTCTGTTTAAATTTGCTTCTCTACTTATTAAGTAGGCATATTCCACTAAGAAGCTAATTTAAAAATTGTTAACTGAAATATGTGTTTAACCAATTATTTGTGATCCACCTTGCTAATTATATTGACAAATAAATACTACTTACTATTTGATGATAACGTGTATGTGCTTTTTTTATTTATTTTATAATTTAACACTTAGAAGTACTTTATATAAACATTGTCTATACACAAGTTACAAACAAACACACTTTTCAAATGAGTTAGCTAAACAAAAATTTATTCTCCCAAAACACTTGCAGCTTGTGTTTGGATTGTTGTTACACGTTGTTTCATAATATATCGTATTATTGTATTGTATTGTTTGATAAATATAACGTTTGGATAGAATGTATTATTTGCCGTAATTTCATGTTGCACACACCAACAATATGAAGAATAAACTTGCAACATTACTAAGGAAAAATAGGATACAGAGTAGAATATATTATATATAAAGTAGGGTAAAGGATAAAATATCATTATTTAATAATAAGAAAGAGCAAGATGAGACAATAAAAGAAGGTATCGACACCACCATACCAAATCCCTCGTTCCATAAAGTGACACTTTTAAAATAAACATTGTATTTAAAGTAACAGTACAATACAATTCAATTGGTAACAACCATCCAAACAAGTTGTCAGTGACACTATTCATATCATATATAGTAAACATTATCTCCCTTTTAAGTTTCGTGCCACTTTAATAGGGAAAATAGAGAAGATATAATTCATATATATATATATATATAGAGGATGACGACAACAAAAAGAAACTTGGTTACATATTCATTTTCTTCCACAAACTTGGACAAGTAGGAAACACAACATTATACTATTTAAAATGCTTGAATATAACACGAAGATCAAGCATTTATAAATAGTTCATATATTGCAGCAGTATAATTTATATTTTGCTGTGCTTAGCGCGAAGTATAGTTCCAAAATAACCTTCACCAGTAGCAGTAAGCCTGTCACATTGAGATCTCCATCCCTCAAACGCAGATGGAACACAGTTAGAGCAGACCCAACCATCACTGCAATCGCTTTCGACGTTGCAATATCTTAAGCAAGTTAGTAAATCACCTAAGGGAAGTAATTTTTCTTTCATCAGTGCAACATCTTCGGGTAAGTCTCGTAAAGCCATCAATTGTATCTTAGGAGATCCAAAGAGATTAACTGCACATTGTTGAAAACATAACAAACATTAGGAATAATAATGTAATCTTTACTTCCTAAATGGAATGTAACATAGTATCTATTTAGATAGACCAGAACGACTCCTGCTCATAATGAGAATGTATATTATCTTATTCTGGTCCGGTCCATACATAGCCGACCGGATTCACTGTTTATATTTCCTTGGACCAACGGTAAAGTTGTCTCCATGTGATCAATTTGTCACGGATCCGAGTCGTGGATGCAGCCACTAATGAATGCATTAGGGTAGGCTGTGTACATCACACCCCTTGTGGTGTGGCACTTTCCCGGATCCTGCGTAAATACGGAATGCTTTGTGTAGCGGGCTGCCTTTTTTGATATACATAGATTTATACTTTGGGTATATATATACACATCTATACACATTATACATGAATAATACATATATATATATTATATATCAACCAACTATTTTAAGTTTATATGGTTGGATGGTCGGCTGTTTAAGTTAATTTCTTCAATAATTACACATTGATTTCCATATATGCAAAATTATTATAAAAGGAGAGAATAGTGGTAAAGCTTTGAACCTGTAATTGCAACAAAGAGCGCAATCAAGAGAAAAGCTTGCTTAAAGTACGCCATCTTAACGATGCTCTGGCTAAAGATGTAAGATAGAAGAGTGTGAATATTGATGTTTTTTTCCTTCAATAGGAAGATCGTATTTATAGACCTATACTAATAAGTAGATAGGACTTGTTAATAATTTGATAAATTATTGGGTTTCCCCATTCTATTGAATGTTTTGCCGGACATAAGAAAATTAAACAAAGATAAGTATATAATGCTAATCAAGATGACAGATATTGAAATTAAAAGATTGTCGGACAATCTTTATTATTGATTTTACACTACATGTATATAGGTTCCGGTTCCACCTTTTCTTAACGTCCCAAAGTTTCATTATACACACAAACCTCTCTATAACAGCGTGTTTGTTCCAGATATTTTTAGATGTTATAGTGTGATGATCCAAAAGGTCAACTTATGTTATAGAACTCGATTTCGTATTCCGAGACCTTCAAAACCTCATTTTATTTTTTCTCTATTTGCGTGCGCAGTCCGGACACGTTTCCGGAAAGCCTTTATGTGGGAATTTGAGAAAAATAATAATTTTTGCCTTTAAAAGTTGATTTTAGTTGACTTCGATCAACGTTTTGAGTAAACTGACCCGGACCCATATTTTGACGGTCACGATGGGTCCGTAACAAAATATGGGACCTGGGCATATGCCTGGAATCGGATTCAAAGGTCCCTAGCCCGAGTAGTGAATTTTGTTAAAAATTGTAAGTCTGAAAATCTAATGGTTAAAGAATTTAATTAATGTCTGATCTCGTTTGTATCGGGCCTTATTTTGGTTCCGGAGCCCGGTACAGGTTCAATATAATATTTATGTCATGTCTGAGAAATTTGGTGAAAAACGGAGTTGATTTGACGTGATTCAGTCGTCTGGTTGTAAAAATAAGAATTTCAAAGTGTTATTGAGAATTTCATGTGATTTGGTGCTAAATTCGTTGTTCTAGGTGTTAAATTGGCGATTGATCGCACGAGCAAATTCGTATAATGCTTTAAAACTTGTGTGCATGTTTGGTTTGGAGCCCTAAGGTCTCGGGTGAGTTTCAGATAGGCTACTAGGTATTTTGGAACTTAGAAAATTTTGCTGGTATGACTGAACTTGTCGCGGGCCTCTGATCCCGCATTTGCGAGATCAGGCATCGCAAATTGCGAACCCTGCAGGTTCCGCATATGCGAGGCTTTCATCGCAATTGCGATTACAAGCTGGGCACAGTCTTCGCATTTGCGAAGTAAAGCTGGGAGGGGCAGTGATCGCAAATGCGATCATTTTGTCGCAATTGCGGAGGTTCATGTTCGCAATTGCGAAGGCGGCAGAGATGTGAAGGACCTCGCATTTGCGATGGTCCCTTCGCATTTGGGAGCTTCGCAATTTCGAATCTCAGGTCGTAATTGAGGCATCTGCAACTGTGTAAAAGGGACTTAGACGGGATTTTTGATTCATTTCCCAAATTTTGAAAATGTAAACCTCAAGAGGCGATTTTTCAAAGGCCATTTCTTCCCCAAATTATAGGTAAATGATTCTTAACTCATTTATTTCAATATTTCACATCTTATAACTAGATTTCAACCTAGAATCTAGAATTTTCATGGTGGAATTGGGGATTTTTGGGTAGAATCTAGGGATTTTGAAATTTGGGGATTTAGACCTCAAATTGAGGTCGAATTCTAAAATTAATTGTATATCTGGGCTCGGGGTGAATGGATAATCGGGTTTTTGTCTGAATTTTACGTTTGGACCAAGCGGGCCCGGGTGTTGACTTTTTTAAAAATGGCCTAAATTGAATTCCTTGCTATCATGGGTAGTTCCTAAGGCTTAAATTGAATTATTTGGTTGAAAATTTTCTAGATTTTATTGGTCCGGAAACTTGTGTATAGGAAAAAGCAGTGATTGAGCCTTGATTTTGGCCAAAGGAGCGAGGTAAGTGTTGTGGCTAACCTTAGCTCGAGGGATTAGGTGTTATTTGCTTATTTGCTACGTGTTTGGATGTTGAGTACGACGTATAGGTAAGGTGACGAGTATCTATATGTTGTTGTCAAGTCATAACATGTGAGTGAGCTTTATTCTTGGAAATGATATTTTTTGTTCATATTGTTCTTGTGTATATTAGTTAATCGATGTGTTGAGAAGTTCCTTATCATGTTTTATGGAATTTGGTATTGATGGGGGTTTTTACCCAAAGTTGAGATTGGTATTGTGAAACTAAGTGTTAAAGTAAGACTTGTTTTTGCCATTCTATCTCTCTATTGTTGTTGTCTCTGTTTGGGTGAGGTAGAGTGATAAAGCACGAAGGGTGATGCCGTACATATTTCTATTATTTATGTGGTGAGGAAGAGTGATAAAGCACGAAGGGTGATGCCGTGCACATTTCTATATTTCACATGGTGAGTTTGAGTGGTAAAGCACGAAGGGTGATGCCGTGCATTTTTCGTTTCCTGTGTTTACTTGTTATTACCGGTTCAAAGTGTACTAGCTGTTTAAATTCTTCTACTGTTGTGATTCTTTATTTTGATACCCCTTAGCATGCTTCTCCTCCCGTTAATATCTTCTTATATTCTGTTAATTGTTATTTTGGCTAGCAAATTGTTTGACTGCACATATTTATGTATGTGTCTTGTCCTAGCCTCGTCACTACTTCGCCGAGGTTAGGCTCGAAACTTACCAGTACATGGGGTCGGTTGTACTGATACTGCACTCTGCACTTTCTGTACAAATTTCGGTACCCGACCGTGTTAACCCGATTTGAGTTGCTGCCTTCAGTCCAACAGTAGACCCAAGGTAGATATGTCGGCGTTCGCAGACCCTGGAGTCCCCTTCCAGCTATCCTAGTTTCTGTTTTCTTTTAAATTCGAGAACAATTGTATTTTTCTTTCAGCCAGTATTTTTAGTGACTCTTAGAAGTTCGTGAATTCTGACACCAGATTTTGGGCAGTCGTGTATAAGTACTTGGATTATTATAAAATTCTGCACTCTCTTAATTTTTTTTGGTTTAATTGTTGTTATTTACTGAATTGGTTAGTGGTTAGTGTATTTAATCTCTATTTGTTAGCTTGCCTAGCATTCTGACAATTTAGGCGCCATCACGATCCCGACGACGGGAAATCCTGATCGTGACAAGTTGATATCCGGGCACTAGGTTGCCTAGGTCTCACAATTGACCAACAAGCTAGGTAGAGTTTGAGGGATCGGTACGGAGACGTCTGTGCTTATCCCCCAGAGGCTACAGAGTTTAGGAACAATTTTACTTCTATTCTTCTCTGTCGTGCGATTTGAACTCTCAATGTTAATTGAACTCTCTACTCTTGTTCTTTCGCAGATGGCGAGAACACATACCACTTCTTCAGCCGAGCAGCAGCCATAGCCCCCAGTGGCAGCTCCTATAAGGGGTAAAGGACGAGACCGAGGCCGTGCTAGAGGCCGAGGCAGGGGCAGGGCTCAGCCCAGAGCTCGAGCAGCAGCACCAGCGGCGGAGCCTCAGGTAGAGTTTGATGAGGATGTTCCAGCCCAGACCGTTCCAGCAGGGCCAGCTCAGCTTCCAGAGGGGTTCATCGCTACCCGGTACTTCAGGATGCTTTGGTCCGTCTAGTGGGCCTTATGGAGAGTGTCGCTCAAGCCGGCACATTGCCCGTAGACCAGTCGTCTCTCAGGATGGGGGAGGAGCCCAGACTCCCGCTACTCACACTCCAGAGCAGATGGCTCCCCAGTTTCAGACTCCAGCAGCTCAGCTAGTTGGGGTGTTGCAGCACAGACCGGCGATGGCTCAGCTATGTCTTCTAAGGCTTTGTGGAGATTGGATAAGTTTACCAAGCTTTTCACCACTACCTATAGCGGTACCTCTTTAGAGGATCCCCAGGACTATCTGGACAATTTTCATGAGGTGTTACGTAACATGGGAATAGTGGAGACCAATGGGGTCGACTTTGCTGCCTTCCGTTTGTCAAGTTCCGCCAAGAAATAGTGGAGGGATTTTGTTTGGCCAGACCAGTTGGGTCGCCTACTTTGACTTGGGACCAGTTCTCTCAGTTATTTCTCGAGAAGTTCCTTCATGTTACAGTGAGAGAGGACTATCGCAGGCAGTTCGAGCGTCTTCAGCAGGGCAACATGTTCGTTACTCAGTACGAGACCCGCTTTATTGATTTGGCCCATCATGCTCTTCTTATCACATGTGGAATATTATCTCGATGTCACAATGAGTCTCATCAATATTAATTTACTGATATCACATGTGGAATGTTGGGTTCAACAAGCTCAAAAATACTATTAATATCGAGTGAAATTGTTTGCGTTGTGCCAAGTTTATACGGTTTTCCCAAAAAAGGCCTAAAACCATAAATAGTATTTCTACGCCTTATATGTACCTTGGCGATTTTTCCAGCTACCAATGTGGTAATTTATTGGCATACTTGTATAGGGTAAAATTGGTTTATAACAGATGGTCGAATGGTAGCATGACACGTGGAACCGAAGGAAACAAAAAGGCAAGTCAGGCAACGACCAATACCAGACACAACAAATGTGATCGACGCTGGGTAAATCCCGAAAGGAGTATATTTAATGGGAGGAGATCAAAGGTTTGCCATTGGAAACATTCAATGAGGGAATATTTTGTAACATTAAATGAGCGATCATTGCAAAGAATATTTGCATTCATGGCATGCCGTTACATATTCATCAATGACTCTTTTATTATCATTTAAAAGGAGCTTGATCCTAGGATCTTGTTTCCCTAGATAATATCATAAATAGTAGGTTCAGTAGCCATTGTTGGACATGAAATTCTTTGCAAACATATGCTGCACTTTACTTTTTTTTTTTTTTGGTAATTAAACTTTCATTTACCAGGGAAATTTTTACAAGTAAATCAATAACCCTTTACATATATCCTAATCATTCTGTACCACTACCCCCTTTACTTCTTCCTTATATCTATAACATTAAACTATTTACATTGCATACCAATCTAATCTACCTAAAGCCTTTTCTACTCGTTTGTTGCTTCTACAATGTATCTCTTGTATAATCCGCTTGCCCAGCATCTCCCATTTCCTCTCCTTTT